AAGTTTGAAACAGATTCAAGGACGGAGGGCGGGTGGTTTTCGACATGTGGCTCTCGCCTCAACGCCGCGCACATTCGTCTTAAGAGTTTGCAGCAGCTTCAGGCTTGGAGGCTGGGTGGTTCTCAAGATGTGGCTCTCTCCTCTGCACCACGCACATTCGTCTTCGAGTTTGCAGCAGGTTCAAGGATTCGTAGGGTTGAAGTCGCGTTGAATCGCGGCGTTGAAGTCCCAGGCATCAGGTTTGGGCACGATTGAGGATTCTCACACGGTTGACTTTCAATGGGGCACGTCCTGCAATGAGCCTACAATATTATTGTAGGGACCTGCGGAGAGGGACCTTGGAGGGAGGGTCTATGGCAACGTCGTTGATGCATATTTGGCTTATACTGGCCCTCCTCCTCCTCCTCCTCCTCCTCCTCCTCCTCCTCCTCCTCCTCCTCCTCCTCCTCCTCCAGTCGCCCGCCCCTGGCCTGCGGATGCGTTCGCCGCCCACGCGACGTGGTGGCTCGCCGCGTCGGACAGGTCTCCTGAGGAGGGACGACTACGACGACGAGACGGAGGAGGAGCAGAAGGGAGGGAGGAGAGGGCGGAGGGGGGGAGGGAGGCTGGAAGGAAGGAAGCAGGGGGTAGAGGGAGGAGCGGGTGGAGGATGAGGAGCAGGCTCGCCCGCACTGGCTGCGAGGCGCTCTCCTGGCACGTGTGGAAGGACACCCGCGGGCACCCCCTGGACCTCCGGGAGCGGAGCCCGAGGCTCCTGGCGAGCCGCGTGGAGGCGGGGCTCCACCCCCCACCCCGTGCGGGACGCCGCGGAGCACCGGGACCCGGAGGCGCTGCGGGGACGGCCGCCCGACCTGGGGCCAGCCCGTGCCGCCCGCGGCCGCTCCGAGGACAGGGACGGCCCCTCAGAGGGCCGGAGGGCTGCCGAGGAGCCCCGCCGCCTGCTGGGAAGGCCTGCCCCCGCTCGCCTCCCAGGGCGCGCGGCCGACCCTCGGCCCAACACGCAGGCAGGCGCAGGCAGCATGCGAGCCCCACTCCCGCAGGCCGGATTCATGAGGCGCTGGCTTGGGCTCAGGACCTGAAGGGTGTCGGCAGCCAAGTGGATCCCAGCGGAGGGGGCGATACCCCACCGTTCACTGGACCCGCAGGAACAGGGTTCGCAAGCGGCCGCATAACATGCGCGAAACCTGCTTGCGAGCGGGTCGCGCGCGCGCCGACGGCTCCGCGACCTGCCCCGAGTTGCAGGGGGCACCTGCTGGGAGCATGTGGAAGCGTGCCTGGCTGGCTACACGAGGTCGGCCACGCCGAGCCAGATGCTCCTTGTCGCACGTTAGAGGAGAAGGACGCGGGACCTGACGGCGTGACCACTGACTGCAAGAGCTTGGCAGACGACTACTGCAAGTGGCGGGAGTTCTGTCGCGCCGGAAAGTCGGAGTACGCAGATTTCTGGGTGAAGAGCTTCTGGCACATAGGCCAGTTGGGAGCCGACACCGTCGCGGCATGAGCTGGTACGAATTCAATGGGAGCAGACGGGCCTGCTGGAGGTAGAGCGGCGATTGAGCGGCGCAGCCGACGCCGATCTGCCCCGGATCCACCACCACGGCGAGCTGCTCAGATTGCACGCCGCCCTCGGATGGCCCTCTCGAGGACCCCTGCCCCGCCCGCGCCCCCCTCCCCAGACAGAACAGATTCCTACTCGAGAGCTCGGCTAGCCCTCTTGATGCTGCGGGCATGTTTTTTTTCCGCGGAACAGCGACATCCCACTTATGTGCCTCAATATTTACGGCCATTGACAAGGGAATGTAGCGGGGGGGAAACGCAAAGCGAGAGAGGGATGAGAGAGAACCGAAATGCCTAATTCGGCCGCCATGCGAGAAACCACTGGCACGAGACACGAGCTGTACAGGCACAGCTGGACACGTTGGGAACAACATGCACAACGCAGGCCGCACCGGCAGGGCGGGCAGGGCGGGCGAAAGCTGAGGCTCGCGAGGGCCACATGCGGCGGGGGGCGGCGTACCACATGCAGAAGAGTTGGGAACAAACGACTGAACAAAAAGAGACCTCACAGGGCGAAGGCACGCGCCAACGAACAGCGTGAGATCCCAACGCCGCGAGACCGACAGTGCACGGCCGCAGAGGCCGTGACTAACGAAACGTAGCGAAACACCATGGCGAACTGGAAATAAAACGTGGCGGCCGCACCATAACAAGACGCCTGGTGCGGCACGGGGGCAGCAGCGCGCGGCCCGCGAGCACGGGACGGCACCAGGGCTCTGGCGCGGTAGCCGCCCCTGGTTGCCGAGCGTTTTGCCCCGACACTACTGAAACGGAGGAGGAACAGGAAAGACGGAAGGGGAATGGGCATGGTAAAATGACAAAGTCATAGTTAATTACAGCTGTCACACCACTCAGATGACGAAGGAGAGGTGTGCAACTGGTACTGGTGGAAGGTGTAGAGGATGATGAATAGATTCCCCTTTCATCAGAGCTCTCAAGACAGGATTCCAGCAAATACACGTTGAATCGCAGAGCTGATGCTATAAACGAATTCAAAACCTGAAGCCAAGCCATCAAAACCACAGCCACTCTGAAATAACCAACGCCTAAGCTGAAATGGCATCGACTCTATGAGACCCTAGCCAAGGACCGCCAGGCAACCTCAAAAGAGATCGTCTCAACCACAAACAGCCTCGCCACTGGCCGACCAGGAAGGTAGCGCTTCTGACAGCAAGAGCTCCAGACACTGCGAAGCGAAAAAAGATAGTACGCCCAGTCCGAGGGGTGAAGGGCTTAGATGGGCTCGGAACCTGCGTGCCTCCAACCCAACCCTCGGCCTGGGACGGAACGTCTCGAAGCCGAACCGGAAAAGGTACGCCCAGGCCGAGGGGGGAAGGGCTTAGATGGGCTCGAAAGCTGCGTGCCCCAACCCTCGGCATGGGACGGAGCTTGCACAGAACCTCCGTGAACAATGACCAAATCCAAAGCAGCCCAATCTGAAATACCCTCCAGCTTGTTCTGCCCCAGCCGAGGTCCTGTAAGGTCCAGTAAACGGAAGAACTGCATACCCATAATTAACCATGCGATGAATCAGATGAATAATATTTGCACCGCCTAGCCAACCTTGATACACAAGGTGCCATCGATCCTGCGGGCATGTGCAACGCTGCAGGTCCGTACCTGAAGTACGGAGTACGGGGCTGTGAGAGAGCAAGGAAGGCAAATCGGCTGCGCGGACAGAAACATGTTCCAAGCCAGAGCCCGTTGGGGATCCTGGCCAAGACGCATTCCGGCCTTCAAGGTTCGGAGGACGAAGACGAGGACACGAGCACAGAGGGGGGAACGAACGACGAGGTGAAAAACTTTGGGGGTGCCAAAGTTGCGGGAGCAGGAAGGCCCTCGGGTCTCGTTTAGTGGCCCGGCCATGTCCAGGAATCCCCAGGCCCGGCGCCGCCGCTGACCCATGTCGTCTCGCTGGCTACTGCGAATCGACGCTAAACATAGGTCGGGCATGTCCCCCTACAGGCGGAGTTTGGGAGAAAAATAGATCCAAAAATACACCAACACAATCCAAACATGCAACAACAATTATCCTGGCGAAAGACCCAACCATACGCAAAAGTGAGAACCGCAGGGCAGGTGGGACGAAGCAAGGGGAATTCCCAATGGACCCACGATCCTCGTGTGAGGGGTGCGCCGAAATGGGGCGGGGCCGCCATGCGAACCCTGCCACTGGGGCCTTCGGTGGAGCTCCCTATGGGGCCACGATCCTCGTGAGGTGTGTGCCGAAATGGGGCGGGGCCGCCATGCGAACCCTGCCACTTGGGCCTTCGGTGGAGCTCCATATGGGGCCACGAAGCGTGTGAGGGGTGTGCCGAAATGGGTGATGATGATGATGATGATGATGATGATGATGATGATGATGATGATGATGAAGTTGATGATGATGATGCTGATGATGATGATGATGATGATGATGATGATGATGATGATGATAGCGACGACGACAACGACGATGATGATGGTGATAATGGTGATGAGGCTGCTGCTGCTGCTGATGATGATGACGCTGCTGATGATGATGCTAATGATGATGATGATGATGCTGCTGATGATGATGCTGATGATGATGGTGGTGGTGATGATGACGTCGATGGCGTCGATGATGATGATGATGATGATGATGATGATGATGATGATGATGATGATGATGATGAGAGGAGGGAGGAGGGGGAGGAGGAGAGGAGGAGGAGGAGAACGCGGGACACCGTCTCTTCAAAACGAGGACCCAACATCACAGGATGGTTGGGGAGAGGGAGGGGAGGCAGCGGGAGGGGAAGGAAGGGAAGAAGGACGCGGGCGCTGTCTCTTCAAAACGAGGACCCAACACCACAGGATGGTTGGAAAAAAAACGCCCCCGTACTAATTTTTGACTATTTCTGAATATTCCCCCTGTAGAGGGACAGGCCCGACTTGACGCTCAGCGACGCTAATCGACGCCCATGCGGGCCTTTCTCGTCGATAACCACACGCTGGCGCACGCGAATGCACTGGAAGGACGAAATCTCGAGGACGCACAAGGCTCCCATGAGTGGCTAGCGAGCACCACTCGCCCTTGGCTGTGGGTGATTCGTGGGGGGAGGGGGCGAGTCTCGGGGCCGGGGTAAAGCCCAAGAGAATGGCGAGTCGTTCGTGTTTTGCGGGACGTACGGGGCCCATGCCGGGAGGTAGGCCCTACTCCTTCCCAAGCCCTGCAAGCCCTTGCCTTTCTCGCAACGTGTGCGGACGTCGGCTCCATTGGCTGCGGATATCCTGGACAGGCTCGGGGCGGAAAGGGAGCCCCAGTCTCGTCTGTTCTGGGGGCTACCGGTTCCCCTCGTCCTTTCGGAGCCGGTTTGTCTTGGCCTAAGCTCGGCCTCGTGGCCTGTCAGAACTTCGTCTCTTAGGACCCTGTTGTGCCTGGCCTGACCTGCCAAGGATAGCTCCTGCAGTTGTAGGTCAGCGAGCTTTGCTCTGCGGAACTCGGTTGCATTGGTCACAGAGGCCACAGGGGAGGAGGAGGAGGAGGAGGAGGAGGAGGAGGAGGAGGAGGAGGAGAAGAAGGAGGAGGAGTAGCAGCAGGAGCAGCAGCAGCAGGAGGAGGGGGAAGGAGAGAGCAGGAGGGAGAAGAAGGAAGAACGAAAGAGCAGGGAGGATATAAAAATGAAGCGGGAGGAGGAGGGAGCAGAAGCAGAAGGCAGCAACAGCGGCAGCAGCAGCAGCAGCGGAAGTAGCAACCTCAGGAAAGTGCAGGCAGAGGTTGGGAGGAGGCGGCTCCCCGACGGGCCCGAGCATTCACTCGGGCCCCGGCGTCCCTCTTCCCCCTTCCCTCCTCCTCTTCCTCCGCCCTTCCCTCCCTCCCTCCCTCCCTCCCTCCCTCCGTGCCTCCCTGCCTCCATCCATCCGTCCATCCATCCATCCATCCATACATCCATCCCCCCCGCTCATCGTCATCATCATCATCATCATCATCATCATCATCATCATCATCATCATCATCATCATCAGCATCATCATCAGCAGCATCATCATAATAATCATCATCATCAGCATCATCATCAGCATCAGCATCATCATCATCACCATCACCATCACCATCACCATCACAACCATCACAACCATCATCATCATCATCATCATCATCATCATCATCATCATCATCATCATCATCATCATCAAGATGATTATCGTCATCATCATCATCATCATCATAATCATCAGCATAAGAAGCATCATCAACAGCATTCATCATCACCATCACCATCATCACCATCAGCATCATCAGCAGCGTCACCATCATCAGCAGCGTCATCATCATCAACATCACCATCATCATCATCATCATCAGTATCATCATGATCATCATCATTCGAATCCTCATCATGATCATCATCATCACCACCATCATCAGCATAAGCAGCATCATCATCAGTAGCAGCAGCATCATCACCATCATAATCATCACCATCAGCATCATCATCACCATCATTAACAACAACCTCCTCCTCCTCATCATCGTCATCGTCACCATCATAACCATCATCGTCATCAGCGTCACCAGCATCACCATCATCAGCATCATCATCAGCATCATCATCACAGCGTCAACATCGTCATCATCATGATTACCATCATCATCATTTGAATAATCGCCATGATCATCATCATCGTCACCACCATCATCAGCATAACCAGCATCATCAACAGCAGCATCATCATCATCGTCATCACCCTCAGAATCAGCATCGTCATCAGCACCATCATTAACAACAACCTCATCATCATCGTCATCATCACCATCGTCACCATCATAATAATCATCATCAGCATCTTCACCATCATCAACATCATCATCATCATCATAATCAGCATCGTCATCACCACCACAGCCACCACCAGCATCATCGTCATCATCAGCAGTAGCATCGTCATCGTCATCTTCATCATCCTCATCATCATCATCGTCGTCGTGGTCAGCATCGTCAATAGCATGATGATAATCATCATCGGCAGCATCATCATCCTCACCGTCGTCAGTCATTACTGTCATCGGCATCATCGGCGTCGGCATCAGCAGCAGCATCACCACCACCACCACCACCACCACAATCATCGCCAAGTATTAGCAGCATGTCCAGCATCGCTATCCTCGTCGTCATCGTCCTTATCGTCCTCATGATCAGCATCACCAACATCAGTAGCAGCATCAGCATCAGCATCAGCATCAGCATCAGCATTATTACCACCACCAGCATCATCGTCGTCGTCGCCGTCATCGTCATCATCATCATCATCAGCATCATCATCATTATCATTAACAGCATCGTCAGCATCATCATCATCATCCTAATCATCATCATCAATAGCATGACAATCATCATCAACAGCAGCAGCATCGTCGTCATCCTCACCATCGTCAGTCATCGTTGTCATGAGCATCATCGTCGGCATTAGCAGCAGCACCACCACCACCACCACAACCATCACCATGTATGAGCATCAGATGCATCATCATTGTCCTCGCCGTCATCGTCCTTATCGTCATCATCATCAGCATCATTAACATCACCACCATCAGCAACATCATCAGCAGCGTCATCATCATCAAAATCATCATCGTCGTCATTATCATCGTCAGCATAATCCGCACCACCAGCACAATCATCGTAATCAACATCATAGTCACCACCAGCATCGTCAGCAGCATCACCGTTACCAGATCATCACCAGAAACATCAGCATCATTGACATCACATTCAACACCAACGCCAGCCATCATCATCAGCATCATCATTATAATCAGCACCAGCATCACCATCACCATCGTCACCATCACCGTCATCATCATCATCATCACCATCATCATCATCATCATCATCATCGTCATCATCATCATCGTCATCGCTATCATCATCAGCATCATCACCACCATCATCATCATCAGCATCAGTATCTTCGTCGTCATCATCACCATCGGCACCATCATCATCAGTAGCAGCAGCAGCATCGCTACCAGCATCATCATCACCGCGACCAGCATGATCATCATCATCAGCATCATCATGATCACCATCATCAGCATCGTCGCCCTCATCATCAGCATCGTCGCCCTCATCATCACCACCATCGTCATCCTCATCCTTATCATCGTCACCCTCATCATCACCTGCGCGCCCACCTGCGCGCCCGCCTGCGCGCCCGCAGGCGCGCCTGCGCTTCATTGGGGTGCATCGCTCCTGCCGCGTCCGCCGCCGCGTCCACCGCGTTGCCGATGTGGTGGCGCGCCGCGTCGGACAGGTCTCCTGCGGCCGAGAGCGGGGGGGGGGGCGTCAACATCGAATCGATAAGTTGGAGCGGATCTGAACTTGCGTCGGGATCGGGCCGCATCGGCACAGAGTCGGAATCAAACCGGGTCGTGCACACCAGGATGAACAACAGCGCCATGCAAGGATCGGTCCGCATCGGATCGTCGATATATCGGAATCGAATCGGATCAGGCCAGCCAGAATCGGCATCAAATCGGATCGATCGCATCGAAACTGGCTCCGGAGGGGAGGTAGACAGTGAACGAGTCGGTGAGACGGACGGGGCGCCTCCCCGCCACCCCGAGAGGGGAAGGGGTAACGGGAAGCAGGAAGACGCAGGGGATGGGAATGGCGCAAAGGGGGGGAGGGAGGGGAGGGGAGAGGAGGAAAAAGTCGAGAACGGAGGAGGTGGACGGGGGAAACTAGCGGAAAGGATGGGACATGCGGGGCAGAGACAGAGGGAATCATGGGGTGACAAGGGAGGTAAGAGAAAGAGGGAAAGAGAGAGAGAGAGTAGAGAAGAAAGAAAGAGAGAGAGAGAGAGGAAGAAAAAAAAGAGAGAGAAAGAGAGAGAGAGGGAGAGACCCAGAGAGAGAGCAGAGAAAGGAGAGAGAGGAAGAGAGAGATATTCACATGTCTCAAAAAAATATGAAGAAGGAGAGGAAGGGTGAGAGGGAGATAATTAGGGAGAGGAAGAGAGAGAGGGAGAGGGATAGAGAGAGAGAGAGAAAGAGAAGAGAGAGAGGGAGAGAGAAAGAGAGAGAGAGGGAGGGGGACAGAGCGTGACGAAAGAAAAGGCCAGGGTCCAACATCTCGTTGAATGGGGGAGCGGATGGGGGCCACCGTACGAATTCCTCCACGCACATGTGAGGCCCTAGGAGACTCGAGATCCAGCACCCGTGGCCTCAAAGATGCCCAAGGTGTCGTCTGAGACGGCTCACGACGGAAACCAGCACGCCCGAACGGCCTCAAAAACACTTAAACTGTCTGCACGCTGACGACGAGGCTCCGCAGGCGCCCCAAGACAGCCCCAAGAGAACCCCCGAAAGGGCCTCCAGAGGCAAAAGCATATGACTTTCTGAAAGTTTGGATGTATTGTCGCGCTCTCGCCTCTCTCGCCCTATGTAAGCCCTATCCGGTCTGGGAGGCCCCCCATAGACCAGCCCATCACGCCCAAAAAGCCCCCAAGAGGGCCCATGGACAGCACAAGAGTATCCCAAGACGCCCGGGCCCCGAGATAGCCAAAAAGGCCATCAAGAGGGCCCCAAGAGGGGCCCAAGAGAGAAAACTCGCAGGAAACCCGAGAGCTCGCCCCAAAAGATCGCCCTAAGACCCCCGACATCCCCACAAGGCCTCAAGAAGAGCCCCTGAGCCCTGAAAAGGCTCCCACGAGGCCGCTTCAGGCCCGCATGAAGCCCCGCAGCAGACGTGGAAGAAGAGAAGGCCAGACGGGCAACAGTTGCAGCCAGGCAGTACGAGGGGAAACGGCAAACAACACATACGAAACCGGAAGCCGCAGATAGTCTCTTCTGAGGTCGGCGGCATGGCGCAGACCTCTGGAATAGCCTCACGACGTGCGACATGCATGCCACAGGGTCCCTGGAGGTCTCCAAAGTTCCCAAGAGGTCCCCGAAGCTCTTTAGAGGTCTCCAGACGCCCTCAAACCCTCCAGAAGCAAAGAAGATGCAAAGCGGGCTCACCATACCCGGTGTCACAAACGTCGGAAACGAAAACTCCAGCATATCGGTACTCGTCCTCTTGCGGTTCCTCGTCCTCCTGCTCCTCCTCGGCGTGCCCCGAAATTAGAGGCCTCCCGGCCTCCTGACAGGGGTCCGAGTAGATGGTGTCGGAGGATCGCGCCGCATCGCCGATGCATCGCCGAAACATCGGCAATGCATCGGCGATGCATCGTCGACGTCGGCGATGCATCGGCGACGTCGGCGTGGAGAAAATCAGGTTCCCCGTCGAGCCGCACCGCCAATACATCGGCGATGCGCCGGGATCCTCCGGCGCCACCTAGTCAGAACTCACTTGGGAGGCCTAGATCAATGCACAAAGCGCCAAGGGCAGCCCACGGAGGCTCCCGCCGCATCGGCGGCGGCGTCGGCCGCCATCCCCGCGTGGTGCTTCGCGTCCTCGATCGTGTCGCCAGCGTCGACCTTTAGGCGGCTCTGCCGGCCCCTGCCCAAGACCACCTTGCTCCCCAGGAAGAGAGAAGGGTGAGGTCGAAGAGGAGGAGGAGGAGGAGGAGGAGGAGGAGGAGGAGGAGGAGGAGGAGGAGGAGGAGGAGGAGGAGAGGGGGAAAAGGTGGGGGCTGCGTGAGGGCTGAGGAGGTGTGGGAGGAGAACGAGAACGAGAATGGGGAGGAGGAGGAGAAAGGAAGGCGAATGCGAGAAGGACGAGGAGGGAGGGGGTGGAGAGGAAGCTGGACGACGACGACGACGACGGCGACGATTGCTGCGGCGACGACGACAACGACGAACACCACTTATGCTGCAATACAGCCTTCCGTCCTAGGTTGGACAGGTGAGGGCCCCATGGGCCTGCATGGTCTTTTGTTGGCAGCCGATAGAAGAGAAGTGGGAGGAGAGGAGGGAAAAGAGGAGGAAGAAATGAAACGAGGAAGAGGGCGATTGGTTGGTTCGGACGCGATAGAACAACGGGTGAACTGTTCCTGACTACGTCTCTCGAACACCGACAAAACCACCGTTTCTGCAGACCAGGGGGAGGAGGAACGAGGAAGAAGAAATGAGGGGGATCGATCGAACGAGCTGTCGAGCCAGTCCGGTGCTACATTACCTCGACTACAGCACCGCAGCTGAAGATCTACTTTTGCCTAGCTGTGGTATCTTCGCTGAAAAGGGGGTCGCGGGCGCTCTCGCCTGCTATCCCGTCCCCTTGTCCTTACCCGCCCCCCCCCTACCCCCTGCCGCGGCCTTTTGGGTTGGGTGGTGGAGGGGCGCGGTGCGTCAAAAACACGCGGGAAACTGCTGGCTCTGGAGCTCGAAAATCGGTGGCGGATTCTGCCCTGAGTGAGGAGGTCTACCTGCCAGCACAAATTCTCCAAATATCGCATCCCTAGCAAGAACTCGCGGGATCGCTATCCGAGGGGTGAAGGAAGGACCGCTTGAATCCCGACACCGTGCTCCTGGGATGTATTATATCCTGCCCCACTCACTGGTTCACCAGCCGAACTCTCTCTATCTCTCTCTCTCTCTCTCTCTCTCTCTCTCTTTTTTTCTCTCTCTCTCTCTCTCTCTCTCAGTAGAGCCCCTGTCGGTACCGCCCACGCACAGCGCGTCGCTCCCTTGCGCCTTCAGCTGGTTGGCAAGGATGGTGCACATCTGATGATGGTAATGATGGAACTGGAACTGGAACCTGCACGTCTCGCTATTTGCGGGTCCTTGTCCTGGCCGAGCTGTTTCCTTCGTCGCGGCGGACGCGGGACACAAGCACTGAGTCGGCCATTTCTTCTGGCGACGGTGCGAATACCACCGTCTGGCAATATTCTGCGAAGTTGTCGTGTGACGCTCCGTCTGGCACGATGCGGCCCAGATACGCACATACCTCCGCCCAGACCTTCACGCGCGGGCTGCCGAGGGACGACGCGTCGACATGTTCTCCTTTCTGGGCCCGCTGGTGTAGTGGCCGAGCTGCGTCGTTGCATGCCAGGCCTGCTTCGAGCGCCTACGAAGCGCAGCCTGCCGATGACCTGATCTACCAAGTGAAGGAAGCACTGCCGCCGCCAGAGCCGCCTGCTTTCGCGCCAGCGTGAGTGTGAGCCGCGCCGTCAGGTGCAGCATCCGCGTCTTGACTGGGCCCTTCGTTGGCGGCTCCTCTTCGTGCGCATATCCCTGCCTACTGTCAGTTTTGCTGCTGGCTCCGACTGCTCTCGTTGCCGTTGCGCCACCGCCCTCAGTTCCTTCGGCCGCCCGTGCTGGGCGCTGTTCAAATACTGGCACCCGTTGGAGGCTCTAGTCTGCAAGGTAGTATCTGTCCCAGTAGATGCTCGCACACATGTCGGAATGCCCCGCCCTTTGCCAGGCTGGCATGACGCCAGGCCTTTGTTTTTTCTTATTTTTTCTTCGCGATGTCTTTCGGCGGCTCGGGGGGCGAATCCCGCAAATGCGACTGCTCCATCGCATCCCTACCGCGCGGCGTCGCGACTGCCGGCCGGGCCCTCGCAAAGAAGCCGAATGTACCCGAGAAGACTGCATCGGAAAAACAGAAAGTCGCCACGCTGGATGACCGCGAAGAATAAGGCCGGGACCTCGGGGGCACCGTCGCCGGCTGGAGCGCCGCCCGACCCCGCCCCGAGCCTCAGCAAAAGGACATCGCAATGAGATGCACGGGGGCGCCGCCCGCCATGAGCCAGAGCCTCACCCAGAGGACCTCGACGATTAGTAGCACAGCGGTATCAGGGAACATAACGCAGCATCAAGCCTCAGCAAGAGGGCCCCCTGCAGACGAAGCAAGATGAGGACACAGGCGCCAGGTACTCGCGCACGGAGGTGCGATGACACGTGGGCATCATGAAAAGGCCCGGGGGCGACCACGCAGCCCAGCTCGGAAGCGGCGGCCCCGCCTGAGCGGAACGGCAGGCCCACGAGGGGGGCAGCGAGATGCCCTCAACGCCCCTGAGCACTGCGAGCAGCAGGGCAGTTCCGCGCGACGGCGGCGACCCCGCCTCGGCAGGGCGGCGGGCCGGCGCGGGGAATAGGCCGGCGCCCTCACCGCTCCTGAAGCATCTTCTTTCGCACGCCCGCCGCCGCAGCCGCGCGGGCGACCCCGCGGCGAACGAGAAGCCTGTCCCTCCTCTCCGCCCCTCGCCGCTGGAGCCGCTCGGCCGCGCGGCCCAGACGGGCGAGAAGGTCCGCCGCCGCTGCCCCTTCCCGTTGCCACTGCACGATTGTGGCCGGAACCTGCATGCATTCGCGGCTATACACATCGTCTGGGACTCGGAAGGGCGAACACCGCAAAAGCCCGGCTGAAGCTCAAGGCTGCCCTGGAGCTGGGCTGGGAACCGGGCGCGGGGCCAGCCAGAGAGCCCGGCTGGGAGCTGAGCAGGGAGCTCGGCGCGGAGCCGGCCAGGGCGGCGGGCTGCAAGCCGGGCTGGCAAGGCCGAGGGCCAGGCAAGGGGCTGGGCTCGGCGTCGGCCAGGGCGCCGGGCAGGGGGCCAGCCGGGGCGGCGGGCCGCGAGCCGGCCAGAGCGCCAGGGCTGGCGGCAAGCCGAGCGCCGGTCGGAGAGACGGGCAGGGGTCAGGCGGGGCAGCCGCGGCACCGGCCGAGGCGCCTGGCAGGCGGCCGAGCTTGAAGCGTGCAAAGTCAGAGCCATAATTCTATAATTTTTGTGAACGTGTGTGGTTTGTGTTTTTTTTTGTTTTGTTTGAGTTCCGCACAGTACTTTGTTTGTGTTTTTTTGTGTTCGTGTGTGTGTGTATGTTGTGTTGTGTTGTTTTGTGCGTGTTGTCTCGTGCTTTTGTATGTGTTTTTCACGTGGGAGGGATCTGCCGCGGTCGATCGCCCGGGGGGGGTCGACTGCCGCCCTGGCGCGGATCGCCCCCGCCAAAGCCCTTAAGACATCGCTCGACAAAAAAAGCCGATCGAGACAAATTGCCGAATTCTGCAATTTTGATCAAACGGGCAGGATCAATTGAATAATCAACTGATATGTAACCTAACAAATAACATGACGGATGTCCCCAAAAACAACCTAACGAATAACCGAATTGGCCTAACAAACAACCTAACAAACAATTGAACGAATAACCGACTGGAACTAACAAACAGCCTAACAAATAACAGAAACGAAGGAATATCATAGTGGACCTAACGAAAGAACCTGATCTTAATGGACCTACCGAAAGGCCTATATAATAAACCTACGAGGGATAGCCCAACAAACAACCGAACTGCATACCACGACCGAACACATAATCTCACACATAACACTGACGTGGCATAGTAAACCACCTCAGACACTACATGTAACATAGTACATGACAGCACAAATCACAATTGTGCTGCACGATTTGCATTGTATTCCATTGCAGTGTGCTGTTTCGCGGGGCTTCGCATGGAGTCGCAATGCGTTGGTTTTCTAGATAGCCTCACGCAGTTTCGCACATTTGGTTGTGATTTGCGTTGCCTGCATTGCATTGCGCAGTTTCGTGCGACTGGCCGTCCCTAGCCATTTGCGCAAGGCTCTAAGTGACTGGCGTCGTCTTTTGTGGCTCCAATTTATTCCGGCGGCAGCGCATCGCGGCTGCCGCTCGCGACCCGCGGGGCCCCCCCCCCGACCGAACGTTTGTCTGCCAATGCGATGATTTCGGTTGCTGATATCCAAGGCGCCTTGAACGCGTTCTTGCGCGATGAGTGCCCGAATCGTGACATAAACTGGTTTCTACAAGTAGTCATCGACCACAATGTGACGCGGCGCGCAGCTCCCAAGGCGAACGCCCCGGCAATGGCGAGCCCCCTCTTCGTTGCGTTGGCGCCGATCTCCGGAACGGACTCGCGCCAGGATGGAAGCTCGAGAGGGCCCTCGTCGCGCGCGGCGACCAGAAGAAGGCAAATTGCACGGCTGCTTCCGCCACGGACTGGACCAACAGCGTGGCCGAGGCAATCCAAATGCTTTGGATGGATTTCCGCACAGTCAAAGCTCGTGGCTCGGAGGCGCCGTTTCTTGGGAGCGCCAACCACCGAGGTGGAAAAATATCAGGGAAGTCCTAGACCTTCCGACGCACTTGCCATGGGACATGAACGACAAAAAGAAAGGCAAGCCAGACGAAGCCAGCGACAGGGAGACGTTCCAGCCCACGCCCGACGCCCCAGGAGCGAGGTTCAGTCGGGCTTCGAGCTCGGGGGAGCTCCCAGGCCACAAGCTGGTCGAGGTCCCTTCGGAGATCGAGAAAGAGGAAGGGTACAAGTCCCTCGCGGAGAAAATCGCGATTCACTTGACGATTGCTTTTGCCGACATGGATTCGCTTTCGGCGCCCACCAGCTCGGCCACGCAGCACGCCTCGGCGGCGCAACGCCCGCGCGACGTGACCGACCTCGACTGGAACACGCCGACAGCGGCCATGGAGAAGTCCACGGAAGCCCCGGGGGGGGGAGGCTCGCATCTTCAAGCCGACGAAGCGCAAAGGCAAAGGCAAGG